TAAATTTATTAACTAAGTGTACTCTCAATGATCTAGATTGGCACCGTTGGGTAAATCAATTTTCACATCCCAAAAGTACTTTCTTACTTTTAGAATGTGAAAAGCTATTTAAAATAATTTTTTGGAGGCAAAAAGACTTGAAAAAAGAACTTTTGAAATGAGATTAAAATGTGAAAAGCCAAAAGCTCCATCCAATAAGTTTTAAAAATGAAATATTATTTGATCATATTATTCTAAATTTAATCTTTTATTTTTTATTTAAAAAAATTAATTCATGAAAAATATATTTATTATTTAATTAATAATAATTATATATCAAACTTTTAACATTATAAATTGAATAATTAATCAGATTAATTTTTTAGCATTAATGTATAATAAAAATTATAAATCTTTATCACATTTTTTAAAATTACAAATTAAAAATTATAAATAATTAGATATCAAGTTTTTAACATTATAGATCAAATTTTATATTATTTAAAATCTTTATTATATTTTTAAATATTTCAAATATATTATATTTGTATAATAAAAATTATAAATCATCATAAATCAATATCTTTTTTATAGTTATATATTCAAAAGCATATTTTTACTACCATAATTTAAATAACTTTCATTTTACCAAACTAACTTTTAAAAAAAATATCTAAACACAAATTCATTACAACAACTAACTTTATTAAACTAACTTTTATCAAATAAACTTTTAACAAATTAACTTTTGGCAATTGAAAAACTAAACACACACTTAATATTAATTTTTGAAAGCTTTTAGAAATTTTTATTTTGATAAATATAATATTAAATTAAAGATAAGCTCCAAACTGATACCTTCAAAAAAATTGTAAACTAAAAACTTTAAATTTAGATTATTCAAAAAAAATCTAAATAATTAATTTAAAAACTTTAATATTAAATTGAATAATTTAAATTAAATTTATATTGTATAAATTAATAATAAAATAAATTTATTAATACTTTATAATTTTTATTTTAATAAAAATAAATTAAACCTTAAAATCTGAATTGTTGATATTAAAATCTAGACATCTCAGATTTTTTTGGCCTGATCAGCCTCCATCAAGTTTTGTGTATGAAGAAATCATTTAGCGCTCCAGAGACTTTTGACTAGTCAAGAGCTTTTATCAGTTCTTCACTCATATTTATATTGGCCTGCTTCTCAATTGCCCACAAAAAGAAATCATTCAAAAGCAGCGTAAGACAAATAGGATTCAATTGCAAAGTGTTATCACTTGATAATATGTAAAATTTTAAATGTAGTTGCCCATCACTTATCACTTATCACTTATTAACTCTAAGTACTGTAACAACTGCAAGACATTTGACAATTTACCATAAATAAAATTGTTTACACCTTCTAGTTTAAAATATAAATATTTTTTTCTTAATTAATATTGATTTAAAATCTAAGTAACTTAATATATGTAAAAAAAATTCTCACTTTACCCATTATATTTATGATTAATAAGTATCATAAATCTTAAACTAATGCATGAATAGTATCTTGAATCTTAAACTTTTAAAATATACTAAAATTTTCTTTCTCAACTTATACATTCTAAGTGTTTAAAACTTCACTGTTAAATTAAAAAAAATGATAATTACTTTTATAGTTTTTGGAGCCTCATCGCGTGCTGACATGATACTCATTTTAACTTTTAAAAATAAAAATTGTTTTTTTAACTTAATGATAACATTTTAAATGCTCAAAATTTAAAACTTAAAAGGTATTTTTTATATTTTTTTAAAAGTAAGGATTCAAAATACCATTCTCCTAATAATTTAAAATATAAGATATTCATTAATTTTTTATTTATCTAAATTTTTGCATAAATTGATCACTCGTTCGTCATGAAGCAAAAGATTAAAAAAAAAAAAAACAACACATATTTTTATTATAATGAGGCAGCTACTTGCGTGGGTCAGAGTGTGGATACAGTCAAAAGAAAATGCGATGTCATGGTTCCCTTTTTAACAAAGCGAAACTTGATGGGCAAGTTAGGAACAAAGAAGATTCGTCGCTAAGCATTAAACAACAAGCTCCAAAGTAGTTTCATCGTGCTCCTCAAACACTTGGATTCTCTCTCTCTGTTTTTTTTTTTTTTTAAATAAAATTGGATTCTCTCTCTCTTGTCTTGTCTTGGAACCATCTTGACTGCTCAACATAGTGATATAATCTGTGCCATTAATTTAATATTTTTATTTTATATTTTTTAAAAATAATTATAAAAATTATAAAAAAGTTCTAATAAATATTTTTTTACTAATTTAATCTATATTTAATTTAAAGGGTATAATTTAATATTAAAACTTTATATTTTTATATATTAACTATTTAGATGTATTTTATACAGTCCAAATTTAAATTTTCTAACTTGCAATTTTTTTAAAAAAATATTTTTAAAAAATTATAATTAAAAGATTAAATATTCTATTTTTTTAATGTTGTATTCATGAAAATAAAAAATAAAAACTTTGAATTCGGACCTTGCAGATATACGTTTAATATTGAATATGGACTATCCAAAATACATGTCGATAGTCAATTTAAAAAATTATAATATTAAATTAGATCGCTTAAATTAAATTAGTACTATCCAAATTAATGATGAATCTATTTATAAAAAATTAGAGGTTTTTATTTTAATAAATATAAGTATAAAACTAAAATTAAAATTAAAAATTAATGGATGAGGATCGAAGACGGACCTGTCTTGTCTTCACTCTGCCCTCCCTTGCTAATGTTAACATCCCTTAATAGGATTGACATTAATTAAAATGCACATCGCTTGTAGTAATTAAGTTTAATCTCCATGAGTTTTCACATCGCTTGTAGTAATTAAGTTTAATTTCCATGAGTTTTCGTATCCAAGGATAGGTTAGGAAAAAAAAAGAATTGAAAAAAATATCAATTAAGTCTCAAAATAGTAAAGTAATGACAGTTAAGTTATTGATAATTTTTTAAAAAAATAAAATTTTAAATATTAATTTAAACAATTATAATTTATAGATAAAATTTTTTATTACAATGTGAGAATTATATTTAATATTTAAATATTTATGTATAATTTTCTTGGCCAAATATTTATAATTGAAACTTATAAATTTGTAATTATTTAAATGGATATTTGCAACTTATTTTTTTCAAAAAAATTTGTCGATAATTTAACTCTCATTAATTCTTTGTTCTAAGATCTAAATGTCATTCTTTCTAAAAAATACTTTTATAGATCCTCATTTGGTGCTCATCAAGCTTATGGGCACTAAGAGCCCATCCTAGCCCTTCATTTTGGCATGAAATAATTCATTATATTTATTTTAAATTGATTTTTAGATATTTTTTATATTGTCTATATTAAAATAAAAACTATAAAAATAATATTAAATATGGATTGTTTAAAGTAAAAATTGAAAAATTGTTAATATTAAATTTGAATATACATTCAAAATATATTTGGATAGTCCATTAGTAAAAATTATAAAATGTTTAAAGTTAAATTAGATTGTCCAGATTAAATATGTACTGTCATGATTTGTAATTGATAGATTTATTAAAAAAAATTACAATTTGTGTGAATTCTTATCTTTTTCCACATATAAATGCTTATTTTGATAAATAAAAAATTAAATTTTGATAGTTCAGATCTCATGAGTTGATGGATATCATGGTGTTTTATTTTCCTAATGAGCATCTAGATATATTTTAGACAATCCATACTTAATATCAATTTTTCTTATAATTTTTATATTAAAATATTTTAAATTCAATTAAAATGCACGTCATGAATTATTTTATAACAAAATAAAAGGTTAGGATGAGCTTTCCAATGATAAGGTGGGTGCTCATCAGGATGAGGATCCATACTTGTATTTATATTTTTTTTCCTGGCTAAAATATATAAAATTTTTTAAATTTTAAGACAATTATATATAACTTTCCTCACCTTTAAAAATTTAAAACTAACCATCCTAACCTTTAATTTTTGCATTTCAAAATCTCCTATTATTAATTATATTATTTTTTCACGAGGGTTATAATATTATTCAACTAAAAAATATTATTAAACAAAAATATTATATCATATAACTATTTATAATAAATTTCTTATATTTTTTAAATAGTTGAGGCATTGGTAACAAAAAAAATTATTATTAATGTATAAAATTTTAAATATTTATGTTTATATTAGTTTTATCCATTTTTTTGTTAATTTTATTTTTTAAAAGATAAATCTTTATTTATATTTTCATGATAGATTTATGTAATGTACATGGCTAAAATATTTAAAATTTTAAATATTATCATGTTAGATTAATTTATCTTTTAATAATAAAAAACTATGCATCATTGAAAACCACAAAAAAAAGATAAAACTAACACAAAAGTAAATATTTAAACTTTTATATGGTGATAACAATTTTTTTTTTTGTTATTATCAATGTTTCAACTATCTAAAAAATATGAGAAATTAATTAGCCATAGTTTACAATATAATATCTTGTTTAATAATATTTTTTAGTTGAATGATATTTTAACCCTCATAAAAAAATATAATAAACAATAAGGGATTTTGAAAAATAAAATTAAATGTTAAAAGGATTAATTTTAAAATTTTAAAAATAATGTGTATTATATGTAACTGTTTTAAAGTTTAAAAATGTTTTATGCGTTTTAGCCTTTTTTTTTTATATAAAAATTATGCGCGTTAACTTGTTCAAGAGGTGATTAAGGTTAAGCGGCCCATTTGTTAAAAGTTTTACAGGTATATATAACTGCCCCTGTATTCATGATCTAAGCTTGATTAACAATGAAGCTGGGAGATTATTGTGCTTGATTGATTTCAAACAGTAATTTTGCGAGAATGTGGGGCGGCTAATATTTGTTTATTGTATTTCCCCCCTGTCTGACATATTCAATGACGATTTCCCGATTGACTATGGACCCTGCACCCAACACCATCGATTCCAGCCCTGCTATATATACACCCGCATATACATCGCCTCAGCATCCACATCGTGATACTGAATTACTGAAATCCATTCTCTGCAATGGCGGCGCCTCACATGCCTCGCGTCAATCTTGGTACCCTAGGCTTTGAGGTATCTGCTATTTCTTCTTTTCGCTTGTTGCTGTCCCCTCTAAATAATATATTTGAGTATCTGTTTGTAAGTCGTCTGCCTGTGCTTCCTCTCTTAAGGCTTCACTCATTCCTCGTACAGACTTCAATCTTGCTCTTCTATGAATACTACTACTCTCTGTCTATGTCGATGACGGATGAGCGTGTTCCCCTTTTTACAGGTTTCCAAGTTAGGATTTGGCTGTATGGGCCTTACTGGAGTCTATAACGCTCCTGTCCCTGAAGAGGTCGGAATATCCATTATCAAGTATGCGTTCAGTCAAGGGATTACGTTCTTTGATACGTCCGACTTTTATGGAGCCAATACCAACGAAGTTTTGGTAGGAAAGGTGACCGTGATCAATCCTTGCGGCTATTATCCCTGTTTTCACATTGCATGTGTCCTGCTGCGCTAAATCCGGTCTATGGATTTGTTTAATTTTTAACGTTTTACTGTTGAGTAGGCCATAAAGGAGTTACCCAGAGAAAATATCCAGCTGGCAACGAAGTTTGGTATTACCGCAGATGCAAATTTATCTAATATTCAGATCAAAGGTACGCCAGAATATGTGCGTTCATGTTGCGAAGCCAGCTTGAAAAGGCTTGGTGTGGAATACATTGATCTTTATTATCAGCATAGGGTGGACAAGTCAGTGCCAATAGAGGACACGGTTAGCGATTTCTTCCTCCGCAATATCCTGTAAATTTTTTGTATTAAAATGGCGTGTTACAGCAGTATACGTTACTCAAGAGTCTGTTGCTGTGTTGCATTATAGGTAGGTGAACTCAAGAAACTGGTGGAAGAAGGAAAAATTAAATATATTGGGTTGTCCGAAGCTAGTCCTGATACAATTAGGAGAGCACACGCGGTTCATCCCATAACAGCTGTGCAAATAGAGTGGTCCCTGTGGACTCGCGACATTGAAGAGGAGATAGTTCCGCTCTGTAGGTTAGTTCTCCACTTTCTGTCTAGGTTCTGAAATCACAACTCTCCCACAACCCTGAGAATTCATTACAATAGCCTAAAGCCTTGAAACGAATGTTAAGGACCAAAACATATATAGTCACTGATGTGTGCATGTTTGCCTCTCGAACCAATGGCTCTGGTAATGTGAGTTCACTTTCTCGATGGATTTTTCTTGTAGAGAGCTTGGTATTGGAATAGTGCCGTATAGCCCTGTTGGTCGTGGCTTTTTTGGTGGCCGTGGAGTTGTGGAAACCGTGCCTGCAGATAGCTTCCTGGTACAGAATAGAACAATGTTTTGCATTTGCTTTTTAATCCCTAGTTTAGTTGAAACATTAGTTAAGTTGTGTCCTTTTTCCATTAATAAAATATTTTTATTTTATTACTTAGATATGCCATTTAGTTCATTAAGATGGCCAGCGCTATATATTCTTTAAAGAACATTGGTGCAAGTAAATACCCCGCACTGTTCTCCCACTATTGCTAAATTTAAGCTTTGAAAGAGGAAAACATTTTATTATTCAAGAGCCAAGGCTGTCTGATGGTTACGTTGTTTCACACATTAGAGCTCGCATCCCCGCTTCCAGTCAGAGAATTTGGAGAAGAACAAGAAAATATATGATCGAATAGAAACCGTTGCTAGGAAGCATCAGTGCACTCCTGCTCAGCTAGCATTAGCATGGGTACTCCAACAAGGCAATGACGTTGTGCCTATCCCTGGTGAGTGGCTGGCTCCCTAATGCCTACATTCCTATTTAAACTCGCTACTCTGAATCCGGCAATTAAGGCTTGTTATTTTGTTGTCTGAACAAACCAATATACATGCATCGTGTTTGTCTGTCTGTGGGCGTTCTTGTGTCTTTCTAAAACAAGACAATGTAGTAATGTACTTTATCAATAAAGGTTTCTTTCAAGATTGTTGCTGAAAAAACATGATTCGTAATTGTGCTTAGATCACTCTGCAAGCTTTGAGTTTGAAAAAAAGAAGAAGCATAGTTTCATATTTCATCACGTTGAAAATCGGTTGAGATGGTTTGGGCATGTACAAAGAAGACCAAGGGAGGCACCAGTGTGAAGAGTGGAACATATAACTTTGAGTCCGATTAAGAGAGGTAGAGGAAGGCCTAAGAGAACACTCTTGGAAGTTGTTGAATGTGATCTCTTAATTAATAATATTTCTAAAAGCTTAATAAATGATAGAGCACAATGGCGTCTTGTAATTCATGTAGCCGACCCCACCTAGTGGGATAAAGGCTTGTTGTTGTTGTTGTTGTTGTTGCGCCAATTTCTTTTTCGTCCCTTAGTGTAGTTTTAACTTGATATTTGTCCATCTCTTTTGTATTAAATGAATTTTCTGGACCTTTATTTTTCAGGAACAACAAAGATTAAGAACCTAGATCAAAATTTGGGTGCCTTAGCGGTGAAACTTTCAAATGGGGACCTCCAAGAAATTTCTGAGTGTGTCCCCATTGATGAAGTAGCAGGTAATCAATACTTTAAGAGCTGGGACCATTTCAGCTGGAGGTTCGCTAACACGCCCTCGAAAGAGTGTAAGGCCTCAACATGAACAGAGAATGATGTAATTTGTGTTCTGAAGCAAAAAATGACGGCAATACCAATAACCTGTAAACCGAGGCTCCAAAGTATATAGCCTGGGTTGGGTGTTTTGGGAGTTGAGTATTGTTGAAATTTTAAATTATTGTGTGGGATTGTCCTTGGTAGTATGTCCAAAATCATGAATTATGTTATTGTATGAATAAGATGTGGGGTTTCACCGTCATATTGGCATGAAAATTTGTTACGATTCTTCCTTATAAAGTAGATTTGACTTTAAGGAGTTACTCCAATTGGCAATGACATGGAATGGGATGAGGGAGCATTTAGGTGCACCCGTGCCTCTTTGTCAAATATGAATGAAGACTTCAACGACTCAAGTGACTATAATTTGGTTTAGCCTTTAATAAATCACATCAATCACCCTCTTCTTCAATTTTGACCTTATATAAAAAAGAATAAAATCAATTTCACCAATGTTTTCATTGAACTATTTAAGCTAAATAGAATGATTTAAGTAACGAATATTGAATAATGAAATGGTCACTTGTTTGGAAAATGCAAGAGAGATTAACAAAATATAAGATCATTCAATCTTTCATGTTCTATCTTGTTTCTTTTTTATTTTTTGGTGTAAATTTTTTTAAATAAACTCTAATTCCTTTCACATCCTGAAAAAGCGAAAGTTTGGCCTAAATTATGAATTGCAAACTTCTTTAATATTGGAGCACTACCCCCAAACCATTGTCAGTAGACATTTACATTAAAATTCAAATGCATTAGTAATTGTTAATATTTGAAATTATTGTAAAGAAAAAGAAAAGCAAGAAGCTGACTAGGTTCTATTTCATTTGCAATTTTATGAGCTTCTTCAAGGACAAAAGAGCCTCAACGCTTGTAGTACAGTTGCATCTCAAAAATCATATCAAAATATTTATAGGTAGACTTGTACATTGAAAAAAAGTCTAGCATGGCTTCTGTCACTCTACTCTTACAAAATTCCCCATCATACAAGAATGCAAGATTTAAAAAGTATGTTGTTGCATGCAAATTACACTTTAAGTGTTTATCCCATCGAGTTTGAATTATGTTTGTGCAAGGCTTGTATAGTTTCCTTTTTTAATGAAAGAAATTTTTGATTGAATTTTTTGCTCTCCTCATGCCTTGATAAACATAAGCCAAAGATGGTTTTTCATCAATATCTACAATTCTTAGTAGCTTGATAAGGGGACTTGTAAGACAAACAATTTGATGGCAATCATTCCAAAACTTTTTGTCCAATACAATGTCATTAACTAGTTGCTCAGCTTTAGTTCTTAATAGTTTATTATCACAAGAGTGATTATTTAAGAGCAAGGCTTGCAAGTTAGGCTTGTGTTCATACAAACTCTTCAATTTAATGAAAGTAGTAGCAAACTTGGTTGCTCGTGGACACGCAATTTCTTTCCAACCATATTTTCTCTTAAGGCATGACAAAAAAGCTATACAAACATAGTAATCTTCGATGCCTTTGTTCCAAGATCAAAGACATGAGGCATGCTTGCAATGTCTACAAAATAAGATTCAAACAGTGAGTAGCACAAGGTGACCAATAAATATAGTTATATTTTTTACAAATCAACCTGCTTGCAGCTACATAATTAACTGCATTATCAATCACCACATGCACTATATTTTCAAGCTTCAGAGTGATGCTGGATGAATGACTCATACCAGAGCACTGAGCTTAGAGCAAAGAGATGTTGGATGAACAATTCAATTTCAGATTGAAGCATGCATGCATGCATGAACAAGGACGAGTAGATGAAGGACGATGGATGAAGGACGGCGAGGAAGATGAAGAGAAGTGAGAAGATGGTCGACGACGAGGAAGATAATGAAGTGAGCAGCCACAATCGCAACTCACAAGACGACAAGAAGAAAAGAGCGTAAAGGGAAATTGGGAATTAGGACATAGAGTGATGACTTGAGATTTTGACTTTTGATAATGAGTAAATTGAATGAGACATAGCATAATAGTGTTCTAGAAAAATACTTTAAAAAAAAAATAAAGACAACATTGTTTTTAACAAATTGGGGGAGAAGGGAGAATTACAACAGGTACCACACAAAAAAAATTAATTACTATAAAATTTATTGACAACTCAATTAAATTGCATTGATAATTAGTTGTGTTGTGAATAATAAAAATAATACTATATTTTCATTATGTTGAAATTATATGTCAAATATTCGAATTCATAACTGTGCGGTGTTCAATTTAAATCAAAATTGCATGACCATAGTATAGTTATTATCTTAATACTTGTCCATCTCTTTTGTTGCAGTGGAAATTGTTTTTGTATTAGCTGACATTAATTTTCTAGACCTTCGTAGGAACAACAAAGACTAAGAACCTAGATCAAAATTTGGGTGCCTTGGCAATGAAACTTTCAGATTGGAACCTTAGAGAAATTTCTGGGACAGTTCCTATTGATAAAATGCCAGGTGGTCGATGAGCAGGGACCAATTCAGCTGGAGGTTTGCTAACACTCCTCCAAAAGGGTTCTAATGGCTCAATATGAACAGAGAAGGCTGTAATTTGCGTTCTGTTCTGAAGGCAGCTATGACAGCAATATCAATAAGCTGTGAACATAGGCTTTGAAACCTACGTCTAGATACGATGAATAATACAATAGCCTGGGTTTGATGTTTTGAGAATGGGGCATTCTTAAGTACTAAATTTTTGCGCGAGACTGCCCTCAGTAGCACTCCCAAAGTCATGAATTATATTTTTGTATGAAAAAAATGTGTGATTTCGTTGCGCGTGTTCTCATGAATATTTGTCGCGACTTCCTTATAAAATGGATTTGACTCGAAGGAATTAGTTATCCATGACACAGAATGAGAGACCAAGTAGGTGCACGCGCACCTCATTGGCAGATATAACTCAAATTTTCAATGACTAAATGACTAGAATCAAGAATAAGGGTTAAGTTTAAAGTCTTTATTTAAATAAGGGTTCAAATTTTAAAAATAATTTTTTTAAAATAATCGGGCTTAAAGGCCTGACTTTAATAAGCCCTGTAAAAAAAGAGCTCAAGCCTGGGCAGCTCTATTATATTATTATTAATTTTTTTTTAGTAGACACACGTTTGAAGCCAAAGACTACTCACCTGAAGCCCTGATCCTACACATATTATATTATTATTAATTTTAATTTATTTTAAAATTAATTTAAATATAATTTAATAAATATCAGTGTACTGTATAAAATTTTTGATATTTTTTATTTTTCTATAATTATTATGTTTGTGCATTTATAAACAATGAACTGTTTTTTAATTAAGATTTGAATTTTATTATTAAATTTTTAAATGTGTTTTGTTTAATTTTTAAAAAATTATAAAAATTTGATTTTTTTTTAAAATTTTAAAACAAAACTTGCAGCCCAACCTTAAGCTTTTTAAATAAAAATTAAATTTTAAGAAATGAGTGAAAAATGAGAAAGTAGGCCTTGAGGGCTCAGTCAAGCCTGCCCACGATCCAACTTTATCGCGACTATGTTTTATTATTTATGTAATGTGAACTACATCTCTTACGTCGGAAATCTAGAAATCTGTGCAAATGTTCCGGTATGTTAATTGTTTTATTTTATTATTATTATTTTTTAAGTTACAAGCGGGCAAACCCATACTTGGGAAAAGCCAAGCTGGGGATAAGTTAAAAGCGTATTGCTCAGCGCAAATGTCAGAATGAACGCTTTACATAAGTCAAAGCATTGAACCGACAGATCTGTAGACCTAACTAAACAGCCAAGAGTTTCGTTTCCGTACACGATGCAGCACCAAGTTGCTATTGAAAGCCCAAGATCCACACGCCTTTGTCATCTTTGAGTAATCCTCCACAGGATCCTTGCTTGAGTGTTGTAATTGAGGCATCGACATCAAGACGAAGCCTACCAGTGTGTGGTCGTAGTCAATGCTGGTTTGCATCGTGGTCAATCTGCAAAATCTGACTCCGAAATCTTCTGCTGATAGAATCTTCGTGAAGCCTAAATGAGCAAAGACTCTGAATGCTTTGCATATTGTAAGAACTTCATTCAAAAATCCATTCACTTCTTATGGTCCATTGTAGCCAACAGACATAGGTAAAGATTTCACACCATGGTCATCTTTAGAAGAGGCCTCTGCCTGCTTTAGCATGCGCATTCCAATCCAACCAAGCTTGCAAATTACCATCATTTAACAAGTTAGGATTAATAAAATCACACCAAGCCTCACTGATAGGTTTGCAAGCTCATAAAATATGAAGAGTACTCTCCTCACTCTCACGCTCAGAAGGATAGAGAGGATCATGACCAAGGCTTCTCTGAGCTCTTTGGTAGTTAGTAGGTATTAGGTAATTTATCATGAGATACTTGCCAAAGAAAGGATTTAATCTTCTCTAAAGCTGATAATTTAGACTAAACTCGACAGGTCAATCCGAACCCGTCCAAGAAAAATTTATGATTGAATCTCAAAAGAATAATAATCTTGTTTAATGTTCAGGCCCATTCAGGCTTTCTGAATAAGCCTAAGAAATATTAGGATAAGCCCATTGGGTTCGGAGTTAACCCGAATACCCGAATAAAAAATAAATTTCTTAAAAAATATATGTAATATAATAAATATTAATTAATTTTTTAAATTTTATGTCATTTTATACCAAAATAACATATATTTGAGTGCATTACTATAGTTATTTTTTAAAAAATTAAAAATATTTATATTTTCATATTTTATTATTTTTAATCAATAAAATATCTCAAAATAATATTTAAAATATATTTAAATATTGATTTTTATATTTCAAGACCCAATTTTTTTAACAAAAAGTTTTGAGTCCTATACATCATTTGTGTATCCAAAAAATATATTTTATATTTTTATAAATAAGATAATTAATTTTAATGTAAAAATAATTTTAAAAATAAAATTTGGGTATATATAAATTTCTGACTCTACTACTAAATAAACATAATAAATAGAATAATATTATTAAATAATTATTTGATTATTGTTCACTCCAGACTTAGTTAAAAATTAAAAGTAAATTAAAATAAATACCTATAGGGATTAAACAATATAAAAAGATAAATAAAAAAAGAATTCAAAAAAATAGTATTTTACTCATAATTAAATAATTATTTTATATAATATAATGATATCTATTTTTCTCATATTTTTAAAATAAAAAGTACAGTTTACCCAAAAGTTATTAA